GACGCACAGGGATGATTCTGGTACCGTTGAATGCGTTGAAAAGTGAGCTTTAAGATGAGCCCAAAAAGTGGAAAACGCCTAAATTGAAAATTTTAGGTTAGGCGGTCCCCTTAAGCTGTTTATGCAGATTCGGGGTAATTGTTCGTAATAATATTGAAGGATCAAGGGTAATTAGGTAATTTTGTTGGGTAAGATTTGGGGTAAATGATTGGAAACTATAATTTAAGCTGTTTATGGAAAATGGCGCCATGCGCTCGGTCTCTATACTACTTTTAAGCCTTAATATTTTCCGCAGTAACGGATTTTGATTTCCACGGAACCCTTTTTACGCAAAAAATATCTTCTCTCTCTCTCTCTGGCCCCTGCAAACTGCGCGTTGTGAAACATCTGTTACATTACCTTCACGGCCCACCGTTCTGCGCCTACGGAGTGAGTTTTACTTAGATCTTGTAGGCAGAAAGACGTGCTGTGCCAGCCCCAATGCCCCATTACACACCAAAACCTTGAAGTAGAAAATATTTGATATTGTTAATACTCAGTTAATAGTATGCCAAATAAAGTCTTTTCCCCATCCAAATCAAATCAGCTTGCAAGTCATTTTAAAATCTTAACTCTAAAAATGTATATGTTAAAATTATCATGAAATCTAAGGTAGGTATGTTTAAACCTGGCATCAAAACCCCCAGAAAGTCCAAAATCAGGGGAAATTGCATAGGAGCAATTAGAGATGGAGGCCCACCCCAGCCCGGCAGCCACTATGCAGAGAGTGGATGAATATAGCAAGATCTTTGGCGATGCTTCTGTAGTCAAATTTTCGCCTTCAGAAGATCTTGCCGACACATTTAGATTGAAATTCTTGCATTTAATATATTTCTCAGTCTTCGGCCAACTATTTAGAAAAAAAGTAAAGTTTCCGGTACGTTGGATGGATTACGATGCAGCGAAGCTTGTCCGGAAATCAGTTGCGATGAGTTCCCGCAAAAAATGTAAACAACGTTTTTCGATTGCGTAGTTTCGGTCACATTAGAGCGGTCTGACTGCTTTATTACATGTTCAGTTGACACTTGCTGTACAATTGGACTGTTTTTAGGGTAAAATTAGTTATGTGGGGTAACACGTGCCTGCAACCTTTTAAATAAGTTTGTGGCTTGTAAATAGTTCGTCATTACTCAGCGTAAATGGCTTTTCATTAAAAATTACCCGGCAATGCATCTTTAAAATGGCCGGCGACACTTTGGGCTTAAAAATCCATATATTGGCGACGCTGCATCCACCCTCTGCATAGTGGCCCGGCAGCATAGTGGCAAAGCAGAAAGTTTTTTAGACTCTCCCTCAAGTTCATTTGTGAGTCCTATAAGCAGACCAGTAAAGTATCCTGGATACCAGCAGTATCATACATAAGGAAATGATATAAATCTTGGGTAAATGAGGAAATTAAAAATGAACTGATTCTAAAAAAGCTCTGGTTTGCCACTATGCCTGGCAGCCCCTGCCACCCGCAGAAGCCGCAAAGCACATGCGATAAAAACTTACTAATTTCAGACAAATTCTCCTCTTTTTATGGTCATTGGCTTGGGCTCTGGCACTCTGCTTAGTTCCTACTTCCTCAGGTGTGCCAAAGCACACAAAACATTTCATGAAGAAGAAAAATGATAAATAGGCCTAAGTGCAAACAATTGGGCAGAAGCCGCCTGTAAATTAGAGTTCTTAGAGGAAAATGCCCATGCTTGTAGTCAATTTCAGCTGTTTTTTATGGCCTGCTCATAGTCTTTTACTTGAAAAATTAAAACCAGCCTATTTTTGTCTTTGATTTTTGAAAATGCCTTGTAGTAGAACAATAGATTTTATTAATGGTATTTGGAAATTTTTGCTAACAATCCAAATTAGCAAACACTAATTATTTCTAACTAACTTTTTGATTGAGAATTTTCTTACATCATATTTCTGCAGAATCTCAATGGATGCAAATTCATCTCTACCTGCAGATTTGTCAAATCACAATAGTGATGAAGATGATTCCATTTTGAACCCAGATGAATTTGAGGTTTGTTTGAATAATTTTCATAACTAGGCATTTTACCCTTTTAATTCTACTTGTCATGGCTTGTGCTGAGTATTTTATTGTTATAATCTTGAACTTGAAGCTAGTTTATGTTTTGGTTTAATAACTCAAGCATTGATTTAAATATTGATGTTCACAATATAAGTAAACATAGAAATATAAGGAGGTAACTTTCTCTTTATTTTTGATTACAGTTAAATTTTCCATCAGGTTTTAGATATTGATGACAACCACCAAGAATCCATAGTTGATCAAGATGATGACAATGCAGAAGTTGGCATGGATGATGATGCAGATGAAGAACCCGATTTTTTGCCCATTGCTGAAGATGATTGTGAAACTATTGAGTCATCACTATTATTTGAGAAGAATGAGGGTAACTCTCCATTTGTCTTCATTTCTTCTAATTATCTATACAAATAAGTTTTCCAGGAAACGGTTGATGCATTTTAAACTTCACTTACACCATTTTCCAGAGCAATTGGTTTCAATAGATATATTAGTGTACATGATGAAACGTGTTGCACAATAACCCTACTTGTCAGTTATATATATATATTTGGTCTTTCTTCTATTTGGTGTTAGAAGAATATCAAACAAAACTACATGCTGTAGCAGTTCTCATATGAAAACAGATATACTGTCTGTAGACTAAAGGCTAAGTAAGGTATATGAATGAATTTTTACTGTTAATAATCAGTTTATTCAATATTAGAGCTTTTATGTGAAATTTTAGAGCTGTCTAACCAGTTTCATACTTCACCTCCTGCAATAGTACATTGATTAATATAAAAAATGTTTATCATGACAACATGATTTTGCACACTGTGACAAGTTTAATTTTGAAGTATTTGAGCTATCAGATTCAAGTCAGTTGTAATATTTTATTTTCCTCCTTCAGATAGTGTATTGTGCTGCTGTGTCTCCCAGTGTGGCAGTCTTATTGCAACAGGTGGCTTAGATAACTCAGGCTATGTCCTCAACTCCTACACGGGCAATGTACTTTTCAAATGCACAGGCCATTCTGTAAGTAGTGATTACTATATATAAACATAGAATGATTTCTGATAAGGCACTGGCTATGTTTCAGGTGCATTGAAATTTCCATTGATTATTATGTTGAGCAAATAAATCACTATTTCAATACAAGCATTTGAATTTGCATGAAACATGCTTAATGGCTATCACTTATTTTTTACTAGGTGTGGAGGCATTAACTTTCAAAATAAACTTGCCAATATGTTGTCAGTATTTGCATATTGCATTAGAATATTGCTAACCATTGTGCCCAATGGTAATGCAAGTCATGTCTATGGCACTCCAAACTTGTATAGGTATAAATGTTAAGAGAAGAGTCAGATAAATATGGCCCAATATGTCAGAAAATGAGGACAAGCCTCATTGGCCTCATCTGTTGAACTCCTCCATTGTATCATCAGTATCATTGTGCACCAACAAGCCAGTGTAAATCCGATACTGTTTGAATTCTCTACCTTTCTACATAAGTAGAAAAATAAGTCTTGTAATTTTTTCAGAAACAAAGGTAAAAAACCAGAGTTGGGTCAACAATTCCATGAACAGTGCAATTTGTATACATATATGGTCTGATAAGTAGTCAATACAGTAATATAAATAACATTTTTCACTTTGTGATTGACAGGAAAGTGTTGAATTTGCATATGTGAGCCATGACAGCGAGCTGGTGGCTACTGGTGATCTCGACGGTCTGGTGCAAGTGTGGAGAGTGAGGAATGGAGAGTCATGCTTCTCCTTTCACACCGGCAGTGAGATGAGAGTAAGTGTGTTGGCTCATAACATCTTCTCTTATTTTAGTAAATTTTAAATGATTTTCTGCTTGAAACTGTTGTAAAACTATCATCATTGAGTTAAAATATTCAGTTGCTCTTTGAAACGTTCTAAAAATTTTGCACAAAATATTATTTAAAGGTACAATATTGCATTTGTTACTAGTTACAATATTATGTGTTATTAATGCTCATATAATTAATTCATGACCATTTGGTGTGGATACAATTGATATCCAAAGAATGCGCTATGACAACTAACATTGGTTTTCCCAACAGTGGCTGGAGTGGCATAAGAACAGCCATATTCTCTTTTGTGGCACCGAGAGTGGCGAAGTGTGGGTGTGGTTGGTGCCTAAAGGAATAACAAAAACTCTCGCCAACCCTGGCACTTCTGTTGAGAGTGGCTCTTGTACGCCAGATGGTGAGGGTTCATTCCAATACTTGCTTACAAAAAGTAATGACATACAGTGGGGGGAAATAAATATTCGTACACTTGAAAAATAGTATTTTATGTATGTAAGTACACAAACTTAACAGGAAAAGTGATTTAAATTATGTATAGAGACGCATAGTATTCAAAAATACTATCAAAAGAAATTAAATCTCAATGCAACAAAAAACAATGCAACATGTTCACTTTTCGGGGTGAAAAAAGTATTCGTACAAAACAATAAATCCGCATTATTTTAATTTAATACTTGGTTGAATGCGTCTCTATACATAATTTAAATCACTTTTCCTGTTAAGTTTGTGCACTTACATACATTAAAATACGATTTTTCAAGTGTACGAATATTTATTTTTCCCCCACTGTATCTGTTGATGATAAAAATTATTTTGCATCAGATTCATGTATATTGAAATATATACTATTCATGAATTCTCCAAAATACCAAAAAAAATCCTCCATAGTTCTAAAAATATTTCTGGAAGAATTACAAAAATTACAATTTAAGAGGAAAAATTTTGTTGAGGAATATGAAAGGTGATTATGAGTATGATTATAGTATTGAAGTTTGGTGATAATTTTAAGTTGAGCAAATTTCTCTTTAAAGTTGATTGATGTGAGGTTTTAGTTTTTTATTGCCTCCTATGATTCTCTGAATACAGTATGCTGTTGACTTCTAATGTTCCAATTAGCTCTTAAAAGTTCTTTTCAGTTACATTATTATAATTCTCAGTTGAATGAGTGACTGGTTGATATCCAATTGTCCAGGCAAGCGCGCCGTGGTGGGCTACAGCAATGGCTCGGTGCGCGTGCTGGACATAAAGAGCGAGGCTGCTGTGAAGCTAGACCCGCTGAGCAGTTTCAGTGACGCCGTTATTGCGGTGGCCTGCCACCCTGACAACGTCATTGCAATCGCTGGTTCACAGGACGGTGACGTCAAGATCTTCAACACAAACACCGGCAAGGTGATGATGACTTGAGGAAGTGTATGCTGTGAAGAAGATAGTTATTTATGTTTATTATTATATGAACCAATTTGTTTTTATGGTTACTAGATTTCTATTTTCTGAATATATGTTGCCCATATTAAAATTCTATGATTTCACTTTTTATTTTTGATGTTTGTTAATTGTGTGAATCAATTTGTAATATTAATATTTTTTTATTCATGCGCTGTATGCGAGTTAGAAATGAACACTCTCGACTGATTGCCAAAATTTTTTTACAGGCTATCCATAACCTCAGTGTGGAACAGTTCAACTCAGGCGAGAAGCAGAGTATTGAAGCTGTTGGCTTCTGTTCGAGCGTTCCTCACCTGGCCATGTTTGCTGATGTTCGAGGCACCATCGTTATCTATGATACTAACAATCAGGTGAGATTGTGGGATGAATTTCTCTCATCAGGAATTATTTACCAAGCCCATCAGAATCTTAAAGTTCTGAAGATTTGTTCTCCAAAGTCGGCCTTCATTGCAACTTCCTCGCGATACCATTCTTCAGTGTTGATTATTCAATACCAAGTGCAGAATCCAATTTGGATCACGAGTGTTCTTTTGTATATGTTTCAATGTTATGGACAGATTTTTTGCAGCCGAAAACCTTGATAATTTTGACTTATGGTTATAATTTTTATTATAAACGACACGGTCAATGTCATTCAGTATATAACTCTCCTCGCGGACCTAATGGTCTTACAAAGTTAGAAGTTGTGATCCAATTTCAAAATTACTCGCAAGACAGAAAATCTGTCACAAGATGTTCAAAAATGAACAAATTTTATATTCATTGCCTCCAGGTTGCACGCCACGTTATCCGAGTGCCTGCGGGAGTGACGCGTTTCTGTTTTCCGTCTTCATCGTCTTCCGTGTTCGTTGGCTGCACCGACGGCGTCATCCGTCATTACGACGCACTCACGGGCAAACTTCTAGCTAAACTCGTGGGGCATTCATCGGAAGTTATGAGCCTCAGTCTAGATGGGTCAGTCGTAGATAATTGCAAATGACGAGAATATGGAACAAAGATTTTATTAGACTTAGATGAATGTAAGAATTCGACGAATGCGTTGTACTGTGGATATTTGACATTATTAGCTATTCGTTTTTAAATTTCACAATTTGACATTAGAACAATTACTCAGCGTTGATACTTTCGATAGAATTTTAGAAGCAGTCATTGTGTGCAGATTCTGTCTAGTGGTTTTGCAAAACAACATCTAGCCGCCTACAGAGACCAAATTAGAGTTTATTGATGCCATGATTTGTGTTGCAGGAGCGGCAGTATTTTGGCGAGCAGCTCGAATGACAAAGTCGTCAGGATATATAATGTGAGCAGCTGCAGCAAGAGCTGACCGTCGCAATAAACAATAATCATGTGCCAACTTTTTTTTTCTCCACCGGTCTGCATTGCGTCATACGTCTTTAAATGATGACTGCTTTTACAGCAACGTGTATAAAATTCGCCTTGCAGTACTATATTCTATATACATATAGAATATATAGTGTTTCGTAGCCACGTAATAATACATTCTTGCAGTCCGTTTCACTTGGTAGTTCAGATAAATCATAATGCAGTATAAAATTTACTATACATAAGTACAGAATGGCGGAGAGCAAAAAGCTAACCACTCTTTACCCAATCAAGACTCGCTTCCAACAAAATTCTCATGAAATTTATGTGAATGTAAGTGGCTGTCACGAAGATGCAGGAATTTCAATTCCTAGTTTTTCTAAAGTCCATTTGAAGTGCTGGGGAAGAGGTGCAACGAAAACCAAGTCTTTTTCATTATCGTAGACTGGCTTCTTTTCATCATTAGGTCCGCCTTGTTGATTTTCCCGCACCTCCAATGAAGTGACTGTAGGACTCTCAAGTTTGGTGTCGTTGAGCGACGTAAAGCAGCTAAGATCTCGTTCCTTTTGATTGGCTGGTTTTCTCTCATAGAAGCCAGATAGAGTCACCGTGCGCAAGTGAATCATCAGAGGTATTAGGTCTTGAATTGACGGCATCAAGTCGAGCTCTTGCAGCAGCTTGAAGTTATACGGCTGGTAAAATGAAGTTTAATTAAAAATTGCTGATATTCACATACACTGCTAACCACGCAAGATGAAAGTTTGATACTACTCCCACATTTATTTAATCCTGCGGAAAGAAATACTCGCGACAAGACGGAGCTCGCTCAAAACAGATCATTCAAACTTTCTTCAAGCACCCTTTTTTTCCAGAACCAATTTTAATCAGAGTAATTATTCATTAAGCGCTATAAATTTCAAGCTTCCTCGAAGAATGCTCCATAGAGCTGAATTATGTTGCTAGATGCTCTACACTCACTGGTATATTTTTGGCTCGAGTGTGCGGTACAGGAACTGGCGTGTTCAAGAGGTAGGCAACCCTCGTCCCGAACAGATGGTCGCCCAGAGGAGGGGCCAGGTGGTGAGAGAGCCACACTCTCAAGCTGTGGTGCATCGTTCGGGTCACTCCCACCTGAGAACGTACACCAAGTGTCGTGAACGAAAGAATTTATTTTTTATAGAAACTGGGCACTGCTGTTATTCTGATGCTGGATGCATATAACATTGCTATGCCATTATGCCCCAGTATATACCGTCACGACTGGCTTCACTTATGAGTAAGACTGATTGCATATTTTCACGGTCCCTTGAGTAACGAGCTCAAGATTTAAACTTCCACAAATATTCCGGTCCATCTATAAGACCCTATACTTTAATGGCGTTGATATTACTGACACGATCACGCAGCCTAGTCCTGATTTTGCTTAGTTCATGCATGCGTTTTCGTCGTCATAAAAGAAAAATTATTTTTTTTTCAAGCATTATTGACGCAATTTCAAAAGTGAATCATGAGATAAGTTTATTCCATTTTGACTGACTCATCAGCTATTATAATAGAACCGACCTGTACCAGAGCAGCCCCCAGTGGTACTGACCTGTACCCGAGCAGCCCCAGTGGTACTGACCTGTACCAGAGCAGCCCCAGTGGTGCAGACCTTTACCAGAGCAGCCCCCAGTGGTACTGACCTGCACCAGAGCAGCCCCCAGTGGTACTGACCTGCACCAGAGCAGCCCCAGTGCTACTGACCTGCACCAGAGCAGCCCCCAGTGGTACTGACCTGCACCAGAGCAGCCCCAGTGGTACTGACCTGTACCAGAGCAGCCCCAGTGGTACTGACCTGTACCAGAGCAGCCCCCAGTGGTACTGACCTGCACCAGAGCAGCCCCCAGTGGTACTGAGCTGCACCAGAGCAGCCCTAGTGCTACTGACCTGCACCAGAGCAGCCCCAGTAGTGTTGCTCTCAGCCAGCGTCCAATGTGCAGCATAAAAACGGTCAACAAGGCGATTTTTGATGCGTCGTAAACTGGGAGTAAACTCCAACACTGACTGACATAAAAGAAACATGTAATATGAATTTGAGCAAATTATTATTATTTGTATTGATTTCAAAATTTTTACTTTCGTTTGAGAAATAGTAGTAAAGTTACTCATGAGATTGCAAATACCAGTTCAACGGTGAATTTATTAATAGGTATATCTTTTAGAAAAACTGGTCTTAGAAATCTCTTGTTAGACTGCCCTGATTTATCCTTGAGGATGGAATCATATATACTGAAAAAAATTGGTTTGAATTATGAATAAATGCATACAAGTATTTGATCTCACCACTTTGACTGAAGAGTCAATTACTTCAGCTCTGAGAGCTGCTTGCCTGTAGCTTCTGTCTTTGGGGTATGCTCGGTTCCGTGTTATGCACCAAAATTCTTTTGGACACACTTGCAGTTTCACAGATTTTTTTAGACAGTATTTCATTTTGTTGCCGACTTTGGCTTTTTTCGCAAGTATCAGAATTCCACTGTGCCACCTGCAAAACAAGTATTCCCTTATGTAAGGACATGTTCCAGTTTACTTTCATCAGCTGAACTCAAAAGATAAGTGCAAGTGATGAAGTTAAGAACCATGTAGCAAATTCATTCTAATTCAATTTTATTATCACAAAAATCTTCTGCAACATGCTTAAATAATACACTGTTCAACCCATACTGACTATCAATGAATAGACAGTGGGACTGACAAAATGTGGAGGTTTTGCTATTTTTTTAAAATTGAGACTGTATGTTGCAGTACCGTATCTTTGATCCTTAAAGTAGCAAAGTAAATCACGTATATTTTGTGCATCTCACTTTTCAGGTGCCACTACAACAGAAAGATAATTCTCCTTGGTGATTTCCTTGATGATAGGGAGAACATCTTGTAGGGTGAATGGAGGAGGTGCTGGACCATAGCATGTTCGTGACCCAGTATGAACTTGGCCAACACCGTAAGGCTTGTTCAACACAAGAAGATCATCTAGAAATGAGAGTAAAATGTAAATAATATACGACAATTAGACTGTTGAAAGTAAAGCAGCATTAATTTGGTTAAACATATTATACAGCTCACAAGCTCAGCTGGTTAAAAAAATAATATAAATTGGTAAAAGATTTGATTGTGATCTTAAGCTTTCATAATATTTAATAACTCCTCTACATGGTAACTTAGCAGAATCTTAAGTTTTGAGTACTGAGCAAATCATACTTTAAGTAGGTACTCTACCATCAAACCTACTATCAAAATTTCAATAAGGTAACTTGTATATTTTCTGAACACTTGAATGTAACAATAGTATTCATTTCAGGCCAAAAATTACAACATTCTCATTAAAAGGTGTTGAATTCAGTGCAATCACTCAATAATTACTGATGGTGGTGAAATGTTTTTAACTTACAGAAATTGATTAATTAAATAATCAATGTAACAAATGCTCACCATTGTTGAATATCTGAGACTGGAGGAGATGTTCTGCCAATTCAACTTTTGTACTCCAGGGGTAGATGGAAGAGAAGAAATGAGATTTTACTTTGTTTTTGTGCACATAGTCTTGATCCTGGCCTTTTGATCCCTGATGCTTACAGGCATCCTTTTTTGACTGAGGCTTTTCTCCTGGCAGCCCTGAGTTAGACTTTGTGTTCTGCTGCCAAGACTTCTCTTGGGCTTGCACAGACAACTTCTGAAATTTAAATATTTTAATTTTACAAATTTGACACAATAGGAAAGAAAAATGTATCAAAAATTTCTTTGTTGAATGTCAACAAGGCTGCATAAAGGTTACAATACTGCCATCCTTTACAATAATTACAATGATCTTTGTTTCAGTGATTTAGGTCAAGTTTTTCATTCTAAATTTCCCATATTATTATTTATATTGGCCCATACTTGATGAAAACTCAAATAAATGATAGCTAAGAAAAAAAGTTTCCTGACCCATTAAACATGAATAAAAAAATTTAATTCCACAGAAAAAAAAATTAAATCCAGAACAAACTATTTTCTAAATAAATTTAATAGAGAAAAAAATTGCTTTAATTAATCCATTTTAGCTAGATGACTGAAAGTGATAATCAAATAATTAGCAACAAAAAATGTTAGTACAGGTCTTTCTTTTAGTATCATTATACTAACATTGGCCCTGATGTAATTCCACCACGAATGCTGTAATGATGAATCTGTATGGCTGGGAGACAGCAGGGTTGCTTTGCACACAGGCCTCACTACAGGCACCAAGTGGTGCTGAATGCACATGCAAAGTCTGTTATATGTCTTGATGTAATGCATGGCAAATATTATGCAACAATTACATATATTTGAAAATTGTTTTTTCAAGATCCTATGAAATGGATAAAAAATATGTTATTACATATTAATAACAGCCTACACAACAATACCAAGCTGGGTTTAAGTGACCTCCACAAATTACAAACAAGCAGCATTGATAAATATCTGGTTAATCCAGCAACGTTTGGAAGCCTCTGTTGCTGAGCTTCACTCTTGTAAACTGCCAAAGCAGTGATAGGTATATCTTAGCCTGGGACTGCTAAGCAGTGTGGAATTGTAGAGGGGTATTAAAATAACCAAAACACAGAGCATATTGAATAGGCCATCACACAATCAATCACAGTCTGTATAGGATGACATCACAATCCTATAAACCAATCAGAGTCTGGAGTGGATGACATAGAGCCTCAACCAATCACAACTGCAACAGGACATGTATCTGCCCAAAAATTACAGAAACTTTACGCATTTTATAGTATTCCAGAATCCAGCTAAGCTAAGTATTGCTGCTAAGTCTGAATAGCATAAAGACAATTTTCCTATTAGTTTTTTCAATATATTGAACAATGTCTTTCATTCGCACTGGTAAATAAAAAATCAGGGTAATACCAAAGGACATTTTTCTTTTGTTGACAATGTTTGAATGTCTCAATCGTTCATCATCAAGATATAAGACGCATTGAATGATGAAATTTTGATCTACACAAGTACAAAATCATGTAAATAGGATACTACTCAAAAATCAGGCTCACAACTATGGCTTCACTGTGGTATACGGTTCAAATAATAAAAATAGAAGAGGCCATTGGCCAATGACAATTCAACACTACAATACTACTTCAATTGTTTAAACTATAGGAGAAGAATGGGCAACTCAAATTTTCATGTACTACCAAGTACCAAATTCTCTAAAAAAATAGAAAACAATCTTTCATGTGAGAATCTCATCATTCTATTAAAATTTTAATAAATTTCATTGGAGGGTTGATATCTTTGTTTTTTCTAAATAATCTAAACTGCAGAAGTTGAAAATTTTGTGAAATGACACATTTGAATACTGCTACCATCAAACAGGGTAATAAGGGATGGTTTTGAGCATTTTTTGTTAATAACTTCTTACCATGAAACATTTCAGAAACGAGTTTGGGCTCATCTCAAAGCTCTTTGCAAGGGCTATCGAATGGCATCTCCAAAAAATTCTATATGCTATACATGAGGCACCAGGTGCAAAATAAAAGCGTCCCAAATTACCCCTGGGAACGGGGTAATCCGGGACACTTGCAATAAAACTTAATTTTAAAACGTTTGAAGCATGCAGAGTATACTCATCCATTACTAACAGTATTCTGAAGTCCTCCTCTTTCATTGTAGATAATGTAGATGTAGATGAAATGATATTTTCTGTGATTTTTACTTGTTTTTCCTTTATTGATATGATATTACCATGCCATTGAGCATTTACAACCTTGTCCACTGCAAGCTTCATTTAAACAGCCCTATAGCGCTTCTTCTGTATCTGTAAGCTTACAGGACGGCTTGTAATTTCACACCATTTTAACTAGGTTAAGTGAATTCACTATAAAAAAAATAATTGTAAAAAACATACCTGAAACAGAAAGGAATGTTTTAGTGACAACTGAACTATCATATGTTTTGGAGAAATAAATCATAGTTTAGGTCAATTACTTTTCATTCTATGATGCCCGGTGCACAATTCTATAGATGACATTCTAAGCACAATTTGGGATGACCGATGATGCACCAATTTTTCTACAAGTGAAATTCTTTTCGCTGAGCAAGGTAAATGTAATCAAAATTCTTTGTTGTTTATCAATTTTTTTGTTAATTGGAGCCTATGCTAACTGAAGTTCTACTGTAAATGCATTTTTAAGGGTGTCCCTTATTACCTCGTTGCACGGAAATAGCTTCCATTTATTTTGGGAATGAAATTCTGTCAATCGCGTTTACAAGCCAACACCTGTGTGCAACTTTTATGTAAGTAAAATTTTTTAAGACGGCATATATTTTTCTTTGCTCCAGACCTTAGTAGAGGTACTCTTCCAAAATCTCACTTTTCACACTTTTTTTCAGCAATTTTTTGGAGATTGTAAATGTATGATTTCTGAACTAGATTTATACATAATAGATAGTAATAAATGTTGAAGTTTACGCCACTATTTTTTAGTTTTGCAGCCACAACATTTCTACGAAATGAGGGATACACATCCCGATTTACCCTGCCCGTCCCTTATTACTCCATTTGATGGTATTTCTTCAATCAAACAAAAATACCTACATTACATTAGAGCTGCAAGATTTCATACCTACTGAAAATATGATAGTATAGCTGCAATATTTCAGAAAAAGTAGGACTTTTCCCAGTTAAGCAAATCATAGTTCTGCAGGAAAAAAAAAAAACCTTGTCATCTAGCTCATTTATTCATATATCATTACACTGGATATGAATATTCCCAGTATGTAATTTGAAACTTATATTGTTAGGTATACTAAAAGCTCCTTCTTGAAATCTAAAATAAAAAATCCTGATTGTCATTTTTCAGCAGTTAAGGATCCCTTGCCCACAAGTTAGCATTGTGTACAACCATAAATAAAAGGTGAAACGCTCAAGCAGAATGATTTGTGCTAAAGTTAATGGAAAAACAAGCAACAGACATCATATTGAATTTACTGTGTAGAGATATGATATTGGCTCATGCAGTTTGTGGCAAAAAGACCAGACTGTTCATCTGAGTTATTGGTTCAAGAATGGCAACTTTATATCCTTATGAATGGAAGTGATATATACCTATATGCATTTCACTTCACAACATCAGTTTATGTTTTTACCAAGATAAAGCTTGATGGAGTCAGAAAAACACATTGGATAACAATACAGTTAAAACAAAGCCAAAGGCAAAGAAGGAAGCCCACCAGCATTTTTTACAGACTCGTATTGCATTGATGCTGAGTATAACCTGTATGCAAGAGTTCAAAATCAAGCTAAAAAAGCTTGTAGCACTGAAGTGAAAAACTTTGAAAAAGATATTGCCAAAAAAAAAAAAAAATAACAACCTGAGAGCCTTCTTTTTGTATGCTAGTTTGAAGTGTAAGACAAGGAATGGTATTGCTGATTTGAATGTATATCAACAAAAGATATCTTCTGAGGAGGGCAAGGCCAAAATCAGTTTTTTAGCAACATCTTCGCAGATGAGGACTTGAACAGTACTGTAAAATAGGGTTACTTTGACCGGCGGGGTAACTTTGACCACTTTTCATTTTTTTAACAAAAACCCCCAAAACTCAAAAACGATTTGACATAGAAAAATTTTGTCAATGGCCATCAAAGGCCTAATACAGCAATCCCTTGGTTAGCACGGTTTTGAATACCGCGGTTTTGATTAACGCGGAAAAAAAATTTGCGACCTACCCTTAATCTACGCTTTGCCAGTTTTGATTAGCATGACTTTTTTTTCACAACGCATCATTTTCCTGCCTCTAGCCAGAGGTGTTACGTTCGTAACGTATTGTTACTTTTTGCTTATTAGATCTTATGTTGTTACTTTTGTTACGACTTTTGGAAAAATTCGCCAAATGTTGTTACTTTATGAATTTCAGCCAATAATTCTTTAAATAAGGTCCCGTTCTGTAGGCACTTGTGCTGACTACAGAGTCGGTTTAACCGTGCCTTGTCTTGTTCATAACTCGAATGGTCGAGTTCGGCAATGTTTGCCGGTAAGTGCGCCATGCCGGTGCTCTAGTTACTTGTTAGCCTTCAACTGGTCAAGATTGCTGCCATATCTACTGCTCACTCTTATCAAACTACATAATTTTCCTTGATAAATTACCGTCATAATTATGGACAAAAAGGGAACGCTTAAACGTAAAAATATCACTTTGGAGACTAAGCTTGAAATAATTAAGCGTTTTGATAATGGTGAAACGAAAACGAAGATCGGTGAAGACCTAGGGTAGACCCAACTGAAGAGAAGTAGACCCAAATGAAGAAAGAAGCATGAATGTTTGCCGTGGCCTGGATTGGCAAGTGAATTGCTATTGCACAATTATGCAGGAGAGAAAGAAATCTACTGTGCAATTGAAATTGGATTCGTTTTTCAGTAAAAAATAAATGTTAATTCATTCGCATTTCTTTTATTTATTTCCCCTATTATTTAGAAAAAAAATATGATGAATTTTAGTGGAAAAACAATTATTATGTAACTTTGCTATTTTTGAGGATTTATTATAATTATTCCCATATATTCTTAAGTTTGATTAGCGCGGTTTTGCTTAACACGGTAAAACTCAGGGATTTATTAACCGCGTTAATCAAGGGATTGCTGTACTGAGGCTACGTAACACAATAGAAAGATTTAAAAAGTTTGCATATCTAATAGGTTAAAAAATTAATAATGTGACCCACAAAAAAGAGCTATTATTTAAAGCCTGTCAGAGTACCCCCTCCAATTTTTTTATTTTTCGGTAAAATAACTCCAGGTTTTGATGCATTGTAGTAGAACTCTTCTAGTTACATGTGCAAAAGACAAATTTTAGGAAAGTGTCATAGTTTGCAAATGGTGGGCGCCGCCCCCCAATGGGGAAACTTTGACCACCTAATGGCAGCCGTGACAGGGTAACATTGACCGGCTTCGAAATTAAGTTAAAATTACCATAGGTATATACCTATATAACATATTTTATGTTTGATACACCTATTAATGTTTTTTTCTTTATGTTTCAGACTCTACAGAGTCTTATATATGGTAATTTTAACTTAATTTCCAAACCAGTCAATGTTACCCCGTCACGGCTGCCATTAGGTGGTCACATTTCGCCCATTGGGAGGCGGTGCCCCCCATTTGCAAACTATGACACTTTCCTAAAATTTGTCTTTTGCATATGTAACTAGAAGAGTTCTACTACAATGCACCACAACCTGGAATTATTTGGAGTTATTTTAACAAAAAATAAAATTGATTTTACCACCCGGTCAAAGAAACCCTAAGAGCTGGGGTAACAAAGACCATCACTTTTTTTGAAATTACATCAAAACTATG